CAGCAGCTCTTCATCTGTCCCCGTAATATTGACACTCAATCAATACCACAGTAATGGCTTCCTGTCTGCAAGTGTCATGTGATTCTTTATGCTGCGGATTTAAATTACTCAAACTAATCCAGGAAGTGACAACACAGTGTTGTTGGTACCACCTCTCTGATCCAGGAAGTGACAACACAGTGCTGTTGGTACCACCTCTCTGATCCAGGAAGTGACAGCACAGTGTTGTTGGTACCACCTCTCTGATCCAGGAAGTGACAACACAGTGCTGTTGGTACCACCTCTCTGATCCTGGAAGTGATAACACAGTGCTGTTGGTATCACCTCTCTGATCCAGGAAGTGACAGCACAGTGCTGTTGGTACCACCTCTCTGACCCAGGAAGTGATAACACAGTGCTGTTGGTATCACCTCTCTCATCCAGGAAGTGATAACACAGTGTTGTTGGTACCACCTCTCTGATCCTGGAAGTGACAACACAGTGCTGTTGGTATCACCTCTCTGACCCAGGAAGTGATAACACAGTGCTGTTGGTACCACATCTCTCATCCAGGAAGTGACAACACAGTGCTGTTGGTACCACCTCTCTCATCCAGAGATCACTCAAGTTACAGCAATGTGTGTCTCAGGGTGTGTCTCGAGATCAAGGAGGGATGTGTGTGTGTGTGGGTGTGGGTGTGGGTGGGTGGGTGTGGGTGTGTGTGGGTGTGGGTGTGGGTGGGTGGGTGTGTGTGTGTGTTGGGTGGCATTTATCTCTGAAACTTGTACACCACAATGGTGGAATTGCTCAAGCACATATTATACAGTGTGTATTCTGGGCTTTGGACATCAATGCTGATGTCATATCATCTGATTCTCTCTGAAAGAGAATGTGGAGGTGAAGAAGTACAAGGCTTAATGCCATACGACTGCTTGACATTATCATGTTCTATGCCCTTGGACATTAAAGTTTGTAGTATTTATCATATTTGAAACAAGAAAAAGGATATAGGATGGCAAAGATGACGTCACACAAAACAGTTTCCTCTTTGACATTTGGCTTGTTATTAAAAAATGGAGAAAACAGTCAATTTAGCTGCAGCAAAGCTATCTTCACTTGCTATGAATGTTTCATTGCATATCGGTTTCCACTGTTCACAACTACGAAGGTGCATTTTGTCAGTTCTTGTTCTCAAATATTCCAATGACATCAATATTTCCATTTTTAATTCCTTTGAAAATATAACGTTTCTACTGCTCTGAAACCATCTGTGAAACACTCAGCCTGACCAAGAGATGGAGAAACTTCTCTTCACCTTCAATCAACCTGGTAAGCATTTGCATATTTCTCTACTTCACATGCCAAGATCTCCTCGGCCTGTCTGCCACAATCACACACACACACCACGATCTCGCACACTCGCACACACTCACGCCAAGGTGTCCTTAGACTAGTCATGTGTGGGACATGGACACTAGTACTATTTGAGGCCAAGGGTTGAGTTTGAGGCAGCACATCCTGTCTGGTCAACTTATTTTAGTCCTCTACTGTGCCACAATTATCATTGATTCAAATACCAAATATTATCCTTGGCCTGTTAGCACCATGCCAACACATGGGAATCACCAAACTCACTCTCTCACTCACGATTGTTGGACACTACGGATGCGAGGATCTGCTGCTCATGTATTGTAGCCCAGTCAATTGTGTTTCATTCTACCACATTTCAGCAAAACATCGGTACCAGATGGTACTTTGACAATGTATTCTTCATTGAATTTAGATGATAACAAATCACTGTTTGACATCTGAGTTTCTGCTGCCACAGGATTGCTCATTGTTCTCATTTCCATTTTAATGGAAATCCTTAATTAGGAGATTGAATTTAAAACGGAATGCGCAGTGTAAGGTTTCAAATGATTAATTTAGAGCAGTTAAATCTACAGGTAACCAGGCGGTAGGGTAGCCCAGTGGTTAAAGCGTTCGCTCGTGAGGCCGAAGACCCGGGTTCGATTCCCGACATGGGTACAATGTGTGAAGCCCATTTCTGGTGACCCCCGCAGTGATATTGCTGGAATATTGCTAAAAGCAGCGTAAGACCATACTCATTCACTCACTCTACAGGTAACCAAGCTCTACATTGAAAACACAGTATTTTTATCTCCATTCTGACATGACTAAATAAAATGCGAACTCTTTGGTGCTAGCAAATATATTGAGTGAAGCGGCGTTGGTTGAGTCCAGTGTTTTGAGTGTGTTGTTGATGTGAATTACGTATTCACCAACAACATTGTTAAAACAAAATATGGCGCTGTATATGCTCAGGCAGTTTGTTTACACGGTAATACTTCACTCCAACAGGCATTGAAAGCATATAAGCATGGCACCTTGGAAACTAACATAAGGTGGGCACACCTAAAGAAAACTAAGCAAGCTTTGCAAAGCTTTCGTTCTACACCGAACATCACCATTATGACGTCATATCGCTCATTGTGACGCAAAGGATATGAAGTCACATTCGTATATAGAAAAGCGCCAAATTCCAAGTTCTCTGTTGTTCCCCAAATTTAAAATACATTCTCTTTGTAGATTTATATCATGTTTTCTGCCCGAAATGTATTGCCACACATCCTTTGAATATTGTAGAAACCGCAACTTTGCATTTTGTTACCTGTAGTTGCAGATATAATTATATAAATATGCCTAACGACAAGACTGAAAAAAGGACTATTTTATTGATATCAACTTCTGTGGTGATACGGACGTCAAACCAGCTGTTTCAATCAGAAGGGGTTTATTGTGATTTAATAACCTATGATTGACCAATCATAATCGAGATATTTCCCAATTCATGGTAGAATTTGTAATAACCTGTACATATGATTCTTGATTTCAATTATAATCTTCTGCTCATGTCTCTCACATGCCTGTATATATCCCAGCATTCTGGAAGTGATTATAGCGAAGTATACATATTCATAGATCCATGACTCGAGATGCACCATTTGTCTCATGCAGAATTAACATGTAAAGTTTGGAAATCGCATGCAGGATAGCGTGATAAAGTCACTCTGTGGTAACATTCAACTGATTATTAGTTGTGTCATTAAGTGGAACACATTGGAAACATCTCTTCTTAACGTATATACTTCTCTATATATTTCTATGGTTTGTGTTTCCCTTGGTGGTGAGTATATATGGTTGTCTGATACTTCCCCTTCATTACACTCAGAGGACTGGTCGGTCGAAAGAAAAAATAAGAAATGAAAATAAATAAATAGCTGTCTTGGTAACCGGTCAGTTGCCTATAAGATATAGGCGGAGTTACACCCCTTCTTAACATATGTTTCCAATAAAATATGAGGAATATTTTATGAATTGCAATATTCAATCCTTTTTTCCCAGAGTGTAATAAATATTCTGGCAAACAAAAAACAGTAATTTAGGTCACATGGGAGAGGAGAAAAACATGCATATATATCATTAGTAGTATATATTAATAATATCCCAACCCCGGTTTGCCATTCACTGAAACATCAGTGTGTATGATCTATATATGGTTATGTATATAGGAAATATTAAACACCAACACAGTAGGTATTAAAATAATATATCATAATGTTTATTAGCAATATTCCATCTTCTGTTTGTATATACTGTAGCACACTGTATATGAATGGGGCAATTGTTGTCCTGAAACAACAATACCTTATGTTCCAAGCTCACTGGTCCTGTTCTAATATCACAGAATGTCTGCTGCTGCTGCAGTTATTGTTAAAATGTGTACATTGTGGAATATAGCACAGCCACTGGACCAGTAAATGATGAACTGCCAGTTTTCACCTGGGAATACGTGTCTGTCAGCCGATAACAGTTGGGATATAAATGTCATTCTGGCCAACTCATATCACTGATTTCTTATTGACAATACAGAACATATTGGTGTTTACTGTTTGTCTTCCTTCTGCTTCAATGTTATTTGTATATCGTCAGATTTATGGAATATTGCAGATTACATCATATGAGTCACTGAGAGATGTTTATTGTAAACATGTATTTCATAGACCAGTTGTTTTCCTGCTTATTGTATTATCATACCTTAAACTTTGCAAAAGTAACAGAAAAAGGGATGCGTTTTAAGATTGAAAATATGTCGTTATGAAAATAATTTGTTGCATTTTTTTCAGATTATCCTCAAATATCACCCTGACAACATCTTTTCTTTGTGTATTTTACATCCTGCCCCGTAAAATCGGCCCAAAAAATAGAAATTGGCATCCCTTTATGTAAATCTTAATTTTATTAAAGTGGAAATGGCGAAAGAGAGCTTCAAGGTGCAGTAATTAACACGACAACATGTGTCTGTTTAAACCCTCTACTGATCACTCTGATTTCTAAACATGAACATTGATTAAATGTTCAAGGTTTACGAGGGACTGTAAAATGAATTAACACATTGTGTTATCCACGAGTGGTGGCCCTGAGAATGAAACATACAATGGCGGGGAATTACCACAAGCCCAATCTCAAATATTGAGGTCACTTCTCTGTCATTAGAAGTACTGCTTGAAGGTAATAAACCAGTTAAACCTCAATTTTACACATGTTAGTCTTGTTCCTGTCTCATTCCAGGGCCATTTATCCAATTAATCAATCATTATTAAGGAAGGAACATATTGCGGAAGGCGGCATCAATGTAATAGGATACCTACACTCTAGCAGAAAACGCTTTCATCTGTGTAACGAGGCGCAGGGATTGCGTGATAGCATTCACTATTTGTTGACAAAAAATACCTGTAAGCTCATGAGTACATGCAAAAACTGCATAAATTTGATTCCATGAGGAATAATTTTGATCGAGGTTTGAGTGTATTGTGTCCCTGTGTTTAGCCTGATTGAAGGAATTGGCTCTGGTCTCCCAGTGTAGGTATATGTTTACACAGGAGCGAAGGCAGGAGCTGTAGTCCGACTTGTGAACTCCCTGTTAGAATGTCAGCAACTTAGACATGCATCAGGTGAGTCCATTCCCCATCACCTCCACAGGCCTTCCATATCGGCAGCGGGCCTCGTTAAGAAGGTGGGACTGGCGACACTTGCGACAGGTGTGAGAGAATCCTCTTCCTCTGTCTATATCTACACAGTCTCAGTGGAGGCTTTGAGGACACCACTGTCAGGCGGCAGTCACCCGAATATTGATTAGTCACGGACGGACCTAGCAGGATTCTAGCGGAGGGAGAGAGTCTGAGCAGTGTCAGTACTGCCACACTGTGGCACAAGGGGACAGCTACCTGGCTGCTGCTTCATCTCAGTCTGCTCCGAGCCGTCTATAGGCAGCCTGGCCACTGCCATCTCACATCCTCCGACTGGTAGTATCGGTGAATGGTGCCGTGGCGGGGATGTACGGGTGAAGCTGTCAGCTGAGCGGAAGATGCATGTGGAGTAAGTCCGACTGAGATAGCTGGCATGGGTACTCTGTGTCCAGGATAACTGTCTACAGCTGTGGGATGTGAGGTCCTCGTGGACTGTCCAGAGGCACCATGGTCGTTATGGGTACTGGTGTTGTTTGACGTGATGCATCACCTGTACATGACATCCTTTTAATCCACACTGACTCTATTAGTAGTAGTAGTTTGTAGATGTTGTTGATGAAACCCAGGGACAAGTAATTACTGTTGAATCGAGTTCACCACAATTTGTCACAGAAGCAATGGAGGAAATAGTGACCAAGCTTATCATCTGAGGCCAAGATTTCTTTACCTGAACCAGCGTTAGTAAGCTCACATACGGCTACTGTTGGGATGATCTTTGAGCTGCTTCAGCTGTGAAAGCAGTTTGGATACACGGATGTACGGACTGGCGGACTGTTCATTTCATATGATGTGCTAGTGTTGCTTCTTCGACCGTGTGCAGCGACACTGTTGACCTCCGGCAAATGATCTGGTCCATCTCGTCGTCAGCACCATGGGTAATATATACGACAAGGTCCAACTTGGAGGTATTTTTACAACACAATGTTTATTTTATTCAGTTTGTTATGTTGATGAGGCAATAGACTAAAATCAGAGCAATAATTGAAACAGCTACAGTAATAATGTATAATTTAGTATAACTTCATTTCAATTTCTGTTATATTAAGTTAATTTTGTTCCCAAATTGAAGGTAAATTATTCATTCTGGAAGGGATTTCAAATAAATGTATTTTTTGAATTCTTGAATTAGTTAAATAATATTTTCCAGGCAAAATATTCATGCAATATTCAACTTGGTCTTATCAGTTCAAAATCTACAAAACAATAATTAAAACAAACATGAACCCTCGTGATATTTTGTGTGACATTTATTAGATTTTAATGACATGCATGTATGAAATACATGAACACAGAGGAGGAGGAATAGCTAGTTTGTGTGTAGAATAAGATTAGAAGGATGTTTAGCCTTAGAGACAGAACAAGCACCTGTTACATCAATCAGGACTGATGTGGAATCATCATGACCAAATAAGGACAAAATAAAAATGGCAGGCAAACTTTCTTGAGTGTATAGGAAAATCAGATGTTGTCTCATAGCTGTCAAATGGTGGCAGGGTGTGATTTTAATAATTTTATGAGTTCTTCCGACTTGAGTTGAAATATTGAGTTAGTATTCTGGGAATGCCAACTTTTCGTCTCGTTATTGGCCTTTTATTTCTGATGTCCGTTTGTTGGTTATGAGCACTCCATCTCCCTGGGCCTCCAACTTTGCAGTTCTGTTTGTTTATTTGGTGTTGTGTTGGGCATAGCACACAGGACGTGGAGCATGATAGATGATGCCTAGAGGAACTCATCCGTTCATTCCCTTCAACATAAGGCCAACTGGAAATATTACAGGACTATTATATAATGCTCACGTACTCATGTCAGTGATATAATGTGATCTATCTTAGCACTGGCACATGTTGCGGATTAGGATTTTAAAAATATTTTGAACACTGATAAATTTACCTTTTTTAGAAAGAAATCACATTCAGTATGTGTGGCTTCTCATAATTTAAATATTAATATTTCAAACAGTTAAAACTGTGTTGAAGATGTCTGTCCAGGCTACATGTTCATTACAATGCTGAGCTAATACTTTGATTATATAGTTGAGTATATGGTGCCTTAATACAGTTGACATGAACTTGTTGATTAGATAAAATTATTATATATATATTTAGATACAAACATGAACAGATCACTGCCCACATCTGCAAAATATATATGAAACATATTGTGTCAAAAAGGCAAAAGTAATTGTATAAATTCTCCTGTCCTGCTTATATATGTAAAGGCAGTGTCCAATGATGAAATAGGGTAATTATAGTTGTTAGGAAATTACTTTTACAAAATACACTTAGTATGAGAAATCAGATGGTGTACAGATAAGGTTTCTCCAAGTGGTTTAGAAATCACAATGTGGCTTCACGAGATAGCACTGGGACATCAATTATACATGGAGGTTAAGAGTACATGCTGGAGAGGATTGGTGAACTTGAAGGCTTACACATGCAACTAGTTGTGAGGAAAGTACTGCTGAAACACAGCTGTCATGACAGTATCCACAAACAGATCAGTTTGCTTTGTTAAATCTTTGATAAATATATGAAATGGTCTTGCAACCACAATTTCTGACTGATTCGAAAGAAGGTTATTGCAACTTTATGAACATCCCACTTATGGCACAGCAGACTTAGATTTATAGAAGGATATGCATCACTTGGACAAAATATCATTTACAGCTTAGCAGACATCCAATACAAATAATTAAAATAGATGCATCACTTTAATGGTATATCCTTTACAGCACAGACATCCAGTTACTTGAAGTATATACATAGCATTGACATTGCCAGTACGTCATGTATAGCATGCACATCCATTTAATTGAAATATATGCATCACTTGAACGATATGCCATTTAAAGCACAGACATCCAATTATTTCAACATATGCATCACTTGAACAATATGCCATTTAAAGCACAGACATCCAATTATTTCAACATATGCATCACTTGAACAATATACCATTTAAAGCACAGACATCCAATTATTTCAACATATGCATCACTTGAACAATATGCCATTTAAAGCACAGACATCCAATTATTTGAATATATACATCACTTGAACAATATGCCAATGAAAGCACAGACATCCAATTATTTGAATATATGCATTACTTAAACAATATGCCATTTAAAGCACAGACATCCAATTATTTGAATATATACATCACTTGAACAATATGCCATTTAAAGCACAGACATCCAATTATTTGAACATATGCATCACTTGAACAATATGCCATTTAAAGCACAGACATCCAATTATTTGAACATATGCATCACTTGAACAATATGCCATTTAAAGCACAGACATCCAATTATTTGAACATATGCATCACTTGAACAATATGCCATTTAAAGCACAGACATCCAATTATTTGAATTCAGCATTACTTGAACAATATGCCATTTAAAGCACATACATCCAATTATTTGAATATATGCATTACTTGAAGAATATGGCATTTCTTGCACAGCAGACTTCCAAATAATTGAAGTATATGCATCACTTGAACAATATGAGTTATTCAAATATATGCTTCTCTTGAACAATAAGTGTCAGTTAAATATCTGCTTCACTTGAACAATATACATAATAGTTCTCGAAGCAAAATATTAGACATGAATTATGAATCCGGTAATATATTGTCCAATTAGCACCTCAGATACTTCAAAGTGTTGCAAGTAAATGGTTTTCCAGACAATCCCGGGTAGTGTATTGATAATTAATGGGATATATTTAATGAGATTGTTGGCACTCCAGAACTACCATATGGACAGGTTCTATAGGCTGGCTTATGTTGAAGGTTTGATGTGTTGAGCTACTGTGATTGAGCACTCTAAACATCTAGTCCTACAGTCCTGGACATCTCACAAGGACAACTCAAGCTCTCCAAGAATTGTACAGTTACCATTATACTCTGAAAGCACCGTCCAGTAATACAATTTCATTTTGCTCCTATAAGAACATTGAATAATGAAATTAGGTTCAACACTATTAAGGGTAACAAAAAATTGAATTACTGTTTTACCCCATTTAGAACATCAAATAATATGTTTACTTTTTGCCATCATATGAGCTGGACGATGAAGCACTCTAACTGTAAATCAGATTGTCCAATCTGCTTGGGAGTACTGTGGAGAGAAATTTACAAATTGATTTCAGCTAGGCTCACACTGCTTCTCAATGGAGATCTTCATGCACTGTTTTACATGATGAATTTCCAGCAAATTATTCCAACATTCGTCCTACTTTCTTATGACTGTCCTTGTGTCTTGTCTAGTGCTGTCAGTCTTTCTAGTTTTGTGTGATATTCGCACTATATAACCTTTTACTTTTTCTCAAAATCGATTTTATCATTCCATAACATTTTTACTTTTTCAGCCATTTGTAATTTGTGTAATGTAGATTATACTTTTGCCTACATTCATTGATTGAATTTCTATGGGAGCAGGTGACGTTTCCATCGGTTACAGTGTTTGTGCAAGGCGAGCATGTTTCGCATCACTGGTGATGTCAGCCATGTGCACATGTGGCTCCATGTTACCACATGAAGCCTGAGTTATAGATATCTAATGCATAATAATAATCAACATTTGTTAAACTCGGAATAATCATGCACTTAGTGACCAGGCTTATTTTCAGTGCTATTTTAATTTCAGGGAATTTTAGGTCATTCTTAACTTATTCATTGTGATGTATTTCAGTGAATTCTCACTTTTCATTACAACCATTCAGTTGAGTTTGCCTGTGCAACTTTTGAGGGTCACCCTGAATGTCACAGCGTCAGATTCTTTTAAGAACCATATTTCTGTTATTCATGGCTTGGTGGATCTGTCCTGAAAAGTTATGGATCATGAATATTTGGGGGATTATTTTATTAAATTGTTTAGTCAGTCCTCACTACAAACACTAGAATCCATATCTTTTCAGTACAGATCCACCAAGCCATCAAGAATTGCATAGTGTCATCTTTCAGGAATCGGTTCTGTGGACCTCCTATTGATATGTCCACAGCACGATACAATGGTGTTTCACTTCTTGAATATGTTTACAGTTTTGTCATTTTTAATGTGTCATTTTGACATTACAATATGCATACACACATCCAACAGTTTAATGTTCAGCAAACACACACAGGGTCACAAGTGGTCAAAGAGGTCACTGTGCACAATGCAGAGCTGCTTCTCTTTCAGGATCTGATGGTTGCTGGTTTGAAGTTGGGGTCCGTGATTATACTGGGTTTCTGTGTTAAATGCCTGATTGTGTCTCATTGACTTCCCTGCCTCGTGATTGTGATACTCCTATTGTGAAAGCTAACTCATTTACTCATGCACAACTGAATATGTTAAAAATGTATATTCAACCAGATGATTCAGATACACCTGTGACAAGGCTCAATCTGCTTTTATATGATCGGCATAGACCTGTAGATTACAGATGTATGAAATGGGTATTGTACCATTCCTGCAATGCTGGAAATGTTGTTTTTTAAGAATCGATTTCAATATTTTTAGCATTTACAGATATAGAAACATTGTGCATGCTTTGTAAATCCACATAGAAAAATGTTCATTGTCACACTGATCAAAATCAGAATCGCTTGCAATTTAATTATTTATATTTGGCCTTATATTTTGCATCATGAATATAGCAGGTATACCACAATGGTTGAATCTGTGACATGGTGTTCTATGAGCTGGGAATGTTTAATCATAATTCTTTTCCCATTAGTGTTTGACCTGAGCCTTTTATTGGCTAACATTTCTGCTTCTAAAAGACAAAAGGTTTTATTGAATTCACTTGTGAACTTTTCATTCACAGTAAGGATCAAGCTCAATCCGCCCAACCAATTTATTACAGGGACCTTTCCTCATTCTCTTAATGGTCTTGGCTTGACCCTTTTTTCT